TGCGCCTTTTTTTAGGAAGATTCCCAAACTATCGATATTTATTGAAAATATTATCAGCATATGAAAATAAAATATAGTTTACCAACTTAAAATACAAATTTAAATTATTAAATAAGGTACATTAAAAAATAACTCATTTACATCGTTTCTCAAATCTTTCTGTAATGTTTTGACGCTATTCTTCTTCTGAAGTACACAGTGATCTGTTTTTGCTTTAAAAAAAAAAAAAAAAAAATTCGGGGAGATTCGGTTTCGTCCAACTCTCGGTAACAGGAAACGTATTTGTGTTTGTTCTCACAAATTTTCTTAAAATTCTGTATCCTTGCAGAAATTTTACATAATTTCTTCCATTGCTGGCAAATTCTACAAACTCATATTTTAAAACTAAGCCTAAAAATATCACGTTTTTTATTATTTTTTTATATAAAAAACAATTGGAACTTGGAATAAAACAAAAAAAGAACACATTCTTAAATGGCGGAGTTACTTGACTGAAGGATTGTTATGAGCATGATTGTCGGAAGAATAATTATGGGCATGGTTGCCAGAGTTTGGCACGTTCTGAAAATTTGGCGACTTCTGCTAAGCTGGAAGTACCTTGTATAATATGCATTCTTACCTATAGGAAGGGTTATTTATTCATTTGAAAAATCATCATCATGAATAATTGCCAATTGTTTATCATCTTCACTGGCTGGTAACTACTCTCTTAAAGCCGAAAGCAGTTATTAAGTATTGCAGCACTGATATGTCCTTGGAATGCAGAAATCATCCATACTTTGTAAAATCGTGGAAAATATCTTTAAAGATATAGAAGAGTTGTAAAGGTCTTGACTGTTGAGTGGAAAGATGGAATTTTGTCTTCAAATATTGAAACATTCACAGTGCATTTCAGTGATTGAAGTTCGATTGATAAGGATCACTAATAAATCAATAATCATAATTATTACGAGACTTGGAGAAACTTGAGAGCTGGCATTCACTGTAATTAACTATTCTAAAGCGCAATGAAGTATTTTTGAAGCAAATTATTATGTTTATGAAGAAGGTACTACAGTGTCTCAAAAAAGTGATGGGACACTTGTGCTTTACAAAAGGAAACTGCAATAAAATAAATTTAAAAAACATGTAAAATTTTTTGTGGGTGTGTTTCATACTTAAATTTAGTAACAATTATTACATAACACACATTTTCTCAAAATATTAAAATGTTAATTTAAAGAAAATACAATTGTTTAGAACGGAGCAAGAAAATGGCTCACTTAAATGATTGGATACTCACGTAAGTGATGGGGCATTTACTTTTCCATCAAATATTTATCAAAAAATTTTACTTTTTTTAAAAGGTTTTAATATTTTTTGTGGATTTCCTTTTACTTTTAAAATGTGAATTTAATCTTCTTGGGATGGATTTCGACTCAATTTTTTTGTGATTTCTGGAGCGATTTTACCCCATTCTTCTTGAAGCACCGATTTTAATTGTTGTTTTGAAGAAATGGTGTGTTTGCAAATTCTTGATTCCAATTCTTGCCGAATATTCTCTATGGGATTTAATTGTGGAGATTGTGGGGGTGTTTTTATTATTTCAGGACAGTTATACGGCAGCCAGAGTCTAACGTTCTAAGCACTGTGCTTGGGTCATTGTCCTGGTAGAATTAAAAATCGTTATGAAGGTTCAATTTTCGTGCTGAAGATTTCAAATTTTGATTTAAAATGTCAATATTAAATATTAATTAAAATTTACTGATCCATTATACTGTCAATAAACACAAGATTACCAACTCCAGCGGACGACATACTCCCCCATACCATAACTCCTCCTCCACCATGTTTTACTGTTTGGCACCAAGTTCTGTTTGCGAAATTCTTCCCTGGGTTTTTCTCCACACCAAAGATTCTACCGTCAGAACCAAATATATTAAATTTACTCTCATCAGCAAATATAACTTCATTCCAGTAATCAGAATTCCTTATTTATGTTGGATTTTGCGAAAGCCAGTCTGAGTTTTTTCTATTCTTTTCACTCAACGAAGAATTTTTTCCTGGCTGCTCTACCGTGATATCCAGCATATCGAATTACTCTTATAATAGTCTCAGGAATTAACAATTACTCCATATAATGCTTGTAAATCAGACAGCAACTTTAGGAAGCACTCATTCTTGGAGTTTTTTTTTAAATATTTCCGAACGATAATTCGCTTTATTCCATTGGATAGCTTTGATGGTCGGCCGATGTCTTCTGTTATCCTGAATCATATGATTCTTTTTATATCGTTTAATGATATTGAAAACTTTTGAATGATGACTGAAGTTAACTGGTTCAGTAGTTTCTGTAATAGATTTTCCACGTTCAGTATGCAAATTAATAACTAATTTTTGAATTCAGGCAAAGTTTCTTTTCCTTTTGCATTCATGGCTGCACAGAGCTAAAAAAAAACACAAAATTCCAAAAAAAACAAACTGGGGAGAAATACTGCAGACGATTTTATTTAAATTATTTGGCAATTGTTTTTGAGTAAAAATAAAAACCCAAAAGATATTTTTATTGCTTACTTCAGACGATTTTTGTTGCATAGTACGTAGTGTCCCATCACTTAAGTAAGCCCTTTCTGCTCCGTTCTAAACAATTGTATTTTTATTAAATTAATATTTAATATTTTGAGAAAATGTATGTTATGTAATAATTGTTACTAAATTTAAGTATGAAACACACCCACAAAAAATTTTACATGTTTTTAAAATTTATTTTATTGCAGTTTCCTTTTGTAAAGCACAAGTGTCCCATCACTTTTTTGAGACACTGTATGTTCCTAAACCATTCTTGGCACATGAAAACATATCGAAGAACCTGAGTTTTCCTGTTTTTAAGACTCAAACTGGCGAATATTTCCTACTATTAAAATATACATTTTCATTAAAAATTCGGACATCAAATTTATGTACTGTTAAGCCTTTTTCCTATTTATTGTTACTTTTGATTTTTTTTTTAATCTCATTGAAAAATACAAATTAAAATTAATTAAAATTAACCATTTTTTTATTTTCAAGCACAAAAGTTGGAAAAAAAAGTCAAGCTTACCTGCAGCAACTTGAAGTTAGGACTATGTAATTGCGCTTTCAAAGCCAATCATAATTTTCATTCACGTTCATAGCTCTATGGCTTGCGTGATTGAAGTTCGATTGATAAACATCTGTGTACGTTCGAACTCGGGTATAATTTGAGAATCAACTACCATTAGGAATTCGGCAATCATCGGGTTATTTTTACATATCAAATGAGACCGAATTTCGGGTATTTGTTTAATATTCTTACAGCGCATTTGAACCAAAGAAAACCTGTTCTTCTTTGAGTAATTAGTATGCAATTGCGTGAGTTACAAATAGGAATTCACTAAATTTCTAAAGGAAGTACGCGAATTATACCTCTGTCTGCTGTTATAAGATTCTGTTCGCTGAGATCTGAAGAAGTTATTTATTTATTGATTATAACTTTTTATTAGATAGTTAAGCAAATGGCAAAGCACTAGAGAGCTACAGTTCGACAACTTGAAAATTTTATTTGAGTGGAAAAGAGATTTTCAGTAGACCAGTTATGAGAAAAGACTAGGCTGTAATCGTTCGTCTTTTCTTATTTCATTCAGTCTTTTCGCCCATTTTTCAGACGATTTTGCTTTGATATAAAAAAATCGCCTGCTTTGGAAAAACATTTTTTAGCTGCAAATATATTTTTGAAAGTGCAAATTATCGTCTGCTATTTGACAATTTCGTTTTCATGCCAAATGGCGCTTTCAATAGACGTTTCAAGCAATAGACGAAAGGCCATGTTTGTGCTCTTTCCGAAAACAATTATTCGTATTTAATTATTAAAAAGTGCCGTAAGTGAAAGCCATGATGTTTCGGTATCTAAAGTAATGATAAATAATATTGTCAATAAGGAAGGAAAAAAACATCAAAGTTTGACTTCAAGGGAAAAAATTGGTCAAAATACATATCCAAGGAAAAAAAAGGAATGTTTTAAATGTTGCAAAGGTAAGAACTTTAATGTTAAAAGAAAATCTTAGAAATCACAGGACAGTTGCATAATCATTAAAATGCTCACTGTCAACTGTAAACAAATTGATTAATGCTGATTTTAATTTAAAAAATTTTCTTCTTCCTCACTGCTTGCCTTCGTGACAGTAATCGGAAGCACGTTTGGCTGGTAATCGAGAGGCACGGATTTCGATTCCAAGCAAGGGTATCTCTGATTCTTTATGTTTCCCTACTCTAAATATCAAAAGACTACCGATGTCATCTGAACTAAAATGTGGTGGAAGATGATTCGTCATTATCTGGGTTTGGCGACTAGGTCCCATCTTCACAAGTCACCCTTTAAGGGTAAAAGAATGTAAGGAATTTTCTTCTTCCTTATAGCGTACTTTCGTGATGGAAATAGAAGCACGTCCGGCAAGTAATCGGAAGGTCCGGAGTGCGAATCCTAGAGAGGGCACTGTTCTTGTTCCTGATTCAAAATAAATCTAACGAGTCTACATACGTATATGCAATAGTAATAACTACAAATGGTAAGGTTAGTAATTATTTTATGCTGATGGTGTGCTAGTACATTTTAACGTTGTTCTAAAATGATTAAACTTATTATTATTATTATTCAGAAAGCTTGATTAATCTACAGCTGGTTAATCTGCCCCAGCTAATCGGAAGTTCATGGTAACTAAGTTTTTAAAAATAAATAAATAAATAAAAAGAGAGAGAGATTGAGACTAGTAGGTTATTTGAATTATTTCTTCAAAATTAAACGGATTTCTTTGCATAGGTGCTCGAAAATTGGTAAAGATATGTGAACTTCCAATATTTCTATATAACTGGTAGCTAAATCATTATTCTGTTATTAAGCACAGAATCAAAAGGTAATATACCAAAAACAATATTAGTTTAGAATATCAACCAACAATTTACCCAAATGCGCAATTCATATTGCTGAAAGTATCAGAGAAACTCACCAACAGAATACCAGAAATCTTTTGCACGGTTTTTAAAATGTCGAAAACAAAATGTCTTTCTTCCTCAGTTGTGTTTTCCCCCCCTTATGAAATAGCGCAAACTGGAAGGAAAAAAAAAGAACTTTTCAATGTAATAAAAATAAAAGGATTATGCACAGCTGCGTACTTTTATCTAAAGTCCAGTGGCATTTTGATTTTCAAGTTCCTCTTCCCGTAACCACCTGTCATCGTTCCCATTACTACAAACATTTGTTTCTTTTGTTAGTTTTTATCCCCCCTTCTAATATTTCATAGAATTATTTTTATTGTAGTTTTTAAAGTAGTAACTCATTCACAAACTATATCGAGTCTCGGCGTAAGCTGATTATGATTGAAAGAATCTTTGAATTCTAAATGCATTATAAAGTGCATATTTTGATGGCGAAATGTGATTTAACTGATATCATTATTAATTGTGCATTACTGGTCCTACCATTCTGCCGAGTCGTGAAATCAAGTTTTTAAATCTCTTCATTTAGTTCATATTTTAGCAATAGTGCAAAAAGGAAAAAGAGCTTTGAAATGAGATTTTGTAAGAAAATAGCCCATCTTCTCATCTAAGCTCGAAACCTCCCAAAACATCGCAGATAAAAACGTGGAAGGTTTAAAAAAAACACGAGAAGAAAACGTTTTCTCACAAAACCTTCTTCTGATAAATGAAACTAAGGAGAAAGCATCGCAGTCCTTGAGCCTCATGGTAGAATATAAGACAGTATGCAAACTTGGCAATTTTCAACACAGTTGTGCAAAATATCGTGGTATGAAATAAAACATATAATCGTGGGATCTTTCCATAGCGGTGACTCGGCTGCACCCTTATGCACGTGACCCACTGTTCGAAAAGATATAACGATGCAGCGGTGTTAAGGAACTATGCACGAATTGAAGATAATTTTCTCGCTTGATCTTCGACACCATCATGTCAATTAAACGTTTTTCATAAAGATATGGACACTTTTATGCATATCCGATTTTCGTTTCGTTAGTAATTAATTAATGAAGCAGAAGATGTATCTGATAGTTCCTTTATAGAAATACACGGCCCTGCTTTCTGGAAACACAGATTTCAAACATTGAGTACACAAGAATAGTGGTTCCCAAAACTTGGGTTGCATCATGAAATAATTTTCCCTGATAAATTAATATATTTGTACATTTTTCTTTCTTGTACGAAATAGAGGAAGTCGCGAAAAAATTTCAGGTATCATAATTGAACGGAAATATCCATTTTGACAGTTCCCGAATCTACTTTTTTTTTAAATTTTTTTTCGTGACGTTTGTATGTACGGACATAATAAAGGACAGTTATTTCCAAAACGGGTTGTAAAATGTATTTTTTTTGTCATATTTGGACGTACGTGCGTACGAATGTATGTCGCATAACTCACATTAGCCGTAGAACATTGAAATTTTGTACATGGGACTGCTATAACAGCTCTGCAGCTCTCTTTTTTAATGCAATCAGCAATACAAAAAGCATATTTTCGGGAGATTTAAAATTTTCTATCGCCAGATGACTCCTACGGTCTATTAAATTATACACATTTTTGGCTGCACTGCTTTTAAAATTATTTTCTCGAATTATTCTAATTTAACCGATTCTTCAAGGCATGTTCAAAATGGCATCAAAAATTACAAATTTTGAAATTAAATATCCTGATCAATTTTTGTCATATGAAAATCAAATTAATTGTATTTTTACTTCCTTGAACAAAGGGAGAAAAGTACTTCCTTTTACAAAGGAAAGGAAGTATTGTAATCACAAAAAATTCCGGGTATCATATTTTAACGAAAATACCCATTTTGTACGCTATCGAATGCAATTTAACGATATTTTTGCGTGACATCTGTACGTAAGGACAGAATAAAGGACTGCTATAACATATAATTGTGCTCTTCCTATTTTGGTTGCACTCGGCCGCACTAAAAGTATATAAATAAATATATGTATTATATCCCCTACCCTGTTACTTAACTCAGTGAGCTCAGTTCTTTTACTCGTCTATATTGGCAAATTGTGCACTTTTTGCTTTAAAAAAATGGATGAATTATATGTTATTCTTATCTTCTCGTTAAGGTTTTTATGCCTTTAGTTAATTTTCATGCAACAGATGTAGAATTATCAACAATTTAAAGGTTTTTTAAGTGCGGCTAAGCCTAATAGTTTTACCATAGCAGCCATATTTGTTTACATTTGAAACTTAGAATAGTGAGTTAAGTCTTTCTGCACCACCAGTGCCTTTTTCTGAGTGGGAAGCTTTTAGTTTTGTGCACCGAAATGTCTGCCTTCTTGCCCGCCGGCCGAATGTTTGCTTTTGTGTAGAAACTGTAATTTTAATTCTAAAAATCGTTTTTCTAATTGTTTTAACTGTATTTGGTGCTTTATGTTTTTCTATATTTTTCATTTTTTAATAAAAATGGTTTTATGCATTTTTGCCTTATTTCAAAGTGATAACTGAATTAATTGAATGAGAAATATATCTCTAATGAAATGCAGGAAAAAATGCATATAATTTAATATTCTGTACAAGAAAGTCATGTGGTGTACACATCAGATATTTTAATTTTAATATTAGTAATTGTATACATTACATTTTGCTTTATTAGGAAAATTGAATTTATTACATTTATTTCATTTAAGTGTGTGTTTATGTATTTGCTGTATACAGGAGGCATTCAAAATTTTCGGATTAACTATAAGATTAAATAATTTGAAATATTTCATCAGCTAATTTTAGGTGAACAGAAACACAGTGGTTTTTCCTAGGAAGTTGACACAATTGGGATCTGATCTACCTCTCCTTGATAATGTTGAATCAGATTTTGATTGTGTTTCTCTTCCTTTTCTTATTTACATAGTTTGTATTGTGTTAGGATTTTCTTTTGATTTAAATACACTAAGTTGGTATGGTCTTTTTACTTTTTTATTTTATTTATTTATTTTTGTCGAGAGATTTGGAATTATACTGGTTTTATATTTTATTTCTTGCAGGTCTTTGAAATTTTGATTCTAAATCTATTACTTTTATGTCTATAAATAATTAATATTTTGCGCGGAAGTGATTTAGGATATTTTTGTTGTAAAACGTTTCTGTAATACTATATGCTACATATATATGTCATAAATTCGAAACACAGTCACGATGGCGAGTGGTAGGGCGAGAGAAAGAAGTTGATACCAAACTAGGTTTAGTCAATTAGCATCTTTATTATCTGCAGATTTGTAGGCACACTAGAATAATTCCTTGTAGACAATATACTCTTTAAATCATAGCAATTACGACGATTTCTTACATGCACAGGTAAAAAGATGCGACGTCATTTCAGGCAGGGCAACATAAGCAACACAGAGTTCTTTGCATGAAAGAAGTCCAGGCAGAGACCAGCTGTCAAACACTTGCAAATTATCAGTGGAGGAATGATAAATGGAAGCGCACTTGATGTATCATACGAAGTGTGCATCCATTAATCATCATTTTCTACCCTAATTTTCATATTTTCACTTTCCTATCGATTATGTAAAATGTGTCTAGGCACTTATTCATTTCAAGTTTTATCATCATTTCACCATTCACATTCTTTTGTTGTGTTCCTTATTGATGATTAAAATATTTTTTGTTATTGCCTACTTCTGTATATAAACGCTTCAGAGTTTAAGCACAGCCTCGACTTATCATTGAAGAGAATGCAGACCCATTATTTTAGATTCCAGCTGTAATGTACTCCACATAAATTTATGCTTATTGAGAAGTGAATGAAATATGAATCGTTGGCTTTCTGATATAAAGACCTTCTCATTAAGCCTTTGTGTAGATAAAATAAGCTTTTCATTAAGCCTTTAGTGCCGCTATTGAAATATTCCAAAGCTCTTGTGGCGAATAAAAACTCTAAACTTAACTTATGACTTGATTTCCTGTTACGATAGTAAGCTACAGACAAATATTGATTTTTAAAAGCAGTTGCTTTTTGTGTCTTCCTATCAACTGTCAGCGACAGCTAAATTGTCGTGAAACTTTAAATAAATTATTTTCAGAAAGTGACCTGAAACTTTCAGAATATTGTGAATTTCAGAATTTGACTTGAAACATTCAGCCATCTTGCCAATTGCATGTTTATCTGCCTTGCATCGCCTGCTACCGGCCTCAAAGATTATTTTCAGTGACACTTGGAGCCATAAAACAGAGACTGCTAATATTAAAATTAGAGTTTTTGCGCCCAAACAAGAAAATCAGCCAACAGGCAGACAGACCAAAATTTTGGTATACAACATTGAAAGTTAATGTTTGTTCTTCCTTTGCAAAAAGACATGGAAGTTGGAGCACCAAATGACTTATTTCACTGTTCTACTAACACAACAGTGTCTGGCCTCGTTACGCCTACCATCACTTTTACATTGCTCATAATTCGACAGATATCGCATGCACTAAAGTTGTAAAATCCTTAACCGAAACATAAGAACAACATAATTCGACCCCTTTAAAAGCAAAAATGCAGAATTTACTAATATATAAGAACAAAAATACAGAACTGAACGAGCCGTTGTAACAAGACAAGAATATATATATATTTATGCATGTTAAAGTAACCGATTGCAAGGAAAAAGCGAGAAGTACAACTAGATGTTATAGCACACCCATATACTAAAACATTCTACGGCTACTCATTCAAGAGTTATTCGAGATGCGTATCTCACGAAACAAAAATACTTGAAAATACCGAAAAATCTCTCTTCTGAATTTACTTTACAATCCTTTATTGGAAAAAAGGGCCCTGTATTTATTCTGTCCAGATACTATGCCAAAATATCCATTCCAATTTATTTAAAGCGGTAAAAATGAATACTTTCCTTGAAATCTGGTACCCTAAATTTTTCGAGATTATAGTTCTTCCTTTAATTCCTACAAGGAACTAGAAGGTGACAGTTTTGTATCTTCAATTCTGCAGGGCCGATTAACGAAATTTCGATGATTTTCATCCGAAAAGCGCGATTTAGAATGTATCTTTA